GAGATTGGGCTGACATTCAGGTACAGAAACAGCCACAATTGCACTTCGTCTTTAACCGCTATTATAGCATTCATTGATCACCTTTGCTTTCACCTCTCTCATTTGATTTCTCTCACTGTCCATCCCTGTTCTCTTCCCTTTGTGTCTCTGTTGTCTCATTGGTTTATGGATCAATAATTGGTGGGGGGGTAAGGTGACCTTCCTTACACCGACCAATCCGAGAGCTTGCTGGATATAGCCTTGCCTCATCCAAAGACTAAAAATGCTTCTCAGGCACTATCTATTTCTTTTACACCAGAAGCAGAGAATACACTCGAATCTGTGTGTGTGTGTGTGTGTGTGTGTGTGTGTGTGTGTGTGTGTGTGTGTGTGTGTTACACTTGGGGATAAATTGTAACACCAGCTGATTGAAGAGGGCTTGTCTAACTGGGGAAAAACAGGCATTCTCAATTGTTTTCACTGCATCTGCCTTCAGCACAAATTGGTTTCTGTCTCCTTTGGGGTAAAATTAAGGTTAGGTTAAGGTTAGGACTGAGCCATGTATCCATTATGGTGAAGGATAGTGCATGCCTCCAAGGAATTAATCTAAATTAAAACAAAAGACACAAAAGCAACATAAAACTGCCTAACAGAGAGAGGTGTTCATGATCCCAAAATGACAGAGCAACTTAAAGCTGCATTAACATTTTTATATTTACATGGATCAAATGACTGTGAGTAATGTGAAAGATGTCACTCATATCTAGTTGAGAAAAAGACCCAATATGATGTTTCAACCCAAACACTGCTCTGTTTGTTGTGTGTCATTAAATTGAACTGTTATTTGATATTTGACAGTGAATGTTTCAAGGCTTTTAGACCAGTGTATCGCTTGAACATAGCAGCTTCTCTCTCTCTCTCTTTCCCCCCATCGTTCTCTCACTGCTTGGGAATCTCTCTCTCATTTCTATGGGCGTGATGATTGGCACGTGGCTGCAGGTCAGAGTAAATTATTAAGGCCCGCTCTTTATTTGCCGATAAATGTTGTCTCTCTCTTTCCATCGCTCACTCTCTCGTGTTTTCAATTTCCTCTCCTCCCTCAACAGCCCATTTAGGAAGAGGGTGAACAGGATGCATGGGGGGTGGGAGGGTTGGGGTCAGCAGAAAGGGAAAATAACACAGAGACAAATGTGGTTTGTAGAGATGGACAGAAATGGAGAAATAATGTCAGTAGGGAAATGGAAAAAAGAGCTATGGAGCAGAGGGAGAGTGCTGATGAATTGCATAGCAACCACTTTGCTATCCTCCACCTGTCACCTGCCCTGCAAGGGGACCTGAGTGGAGCATGCAAGAGCAAACACACACACCTGCTTTATACCTGAGAACAGTGACTATTTGTGTGTGTGTGTGTGTGTGTGTGTGTGTGTGTGTGTGTGTGTGTGTGTGTGTGTGTGTGTGTGTGTGTGTGCGTGTGTGTGTGTGTGTGTGTGTGTGTGTGTGTGTGCGTGCGAACTAAACCAAAGAGGGACCAGTTGTGTGTTGTCATTAGGGAGCTATTAAACTGCCAAATGGGTGAGGCCGGAGAAAAGGGAAGCGAGAGAGGAGGACAGTTACCAACAGAGAAAGAGAAGAAAGGAAAATAGAGTTGTTTTCATTTCCATCAATAATTCAGCATGTGTATTATCTCCTGTTGTGTGCAGCTGCAAACTTCTCGCCTCAGCGATTTTTACAGTGGCAAACAACCTGACACATGCATGTACACACACACGCGCGCGCGCAAACATGAGGATTGGTTATTGTTTGAGTCATTTTACACAGACATGCCTAATTTATGTAAATGTGGGATTCTTGCTGTGAGGAATTCTGACTCCAGAAAAGAAGTGGGTTGGTTGTAAGCATAAATTTTTTATCTGTTGCTGTTTTGAACCTATCAACTAGCGCCTACTTGGTATAACTCTACACTGCTGTTCCGTAAAATATAATCGCAGCATCTATTTGTGCTAAAGGCAGCTACTCTTCTGACTGTATATGACTTTGGGCTTTAAAGCTGCTCTCATTATTATTATTTTTTTCAGTTAAAAAGCTGATAAACCCACTATACATTACCTGCCAAGAACTGAACAGACAGACAAAATTAGCGACTATAGCTGGTGAACAGGCATGACGTTACTCCGTGTCTGCAGGATGTGTAAAAAAATATGTTAATGCAGGTAAGTACTTTTGACTAAGTAAAGTTAGTTTGTTTAAAGAGCACACGTACACACAACAGTTAACCAAAGTGCAGAAAATGTAAATACATTTGAATGATTAAAATACAAGTAGATAAGTGTAACCGAAAAATTTAATCCAATCATATGTAGTTACTTGTGATGTGAAGTTGTGTTGACTTTAAAAGCATTTGTAAAAAGATCTTAAAGATTTTAAAATGACAATACAGAGGACCTGACAGTGAAGGGTGAACTGTTCCACAGTCAGTACTGCAGTTGAGGAGATCAGGCATATATGCGTTTGCAAATCAATGCAATGCTTTAAAAGAAAATAAAAGAATATTAAATAAAATCAATTAGATTTTTCACTGGCAACATATAAAGAGATTCCAGCAGCGCATGGCAGCAAATGGTTTTCCTGCTGCATAGATATAATTGGATAGACTTCGGTTGCCATTGTTCTATTTGCAGCTGCTGCTGGAGGTCACAGTGTGATTTGTTAGGGGTCATATCTCATAACATATGTTCATAAAATTCTGTTTGTCCTGTAGCAGCAAAAATTAATGTCATAGTTGAACAGGTGCGCACACCAAGGCCAAATGTCGGGCTGGGCAGATCAATCACTTGCTGCCTCTACTCCAAAAAGATGTATAGTGCATGTGGGTGTGTTTGGGCAGGAACTGCTATAACAAGGAGTTTGATTAGACTGGATGAGACCCAGAAGTCTTTTACGGCTGCTACTCTCGTCATTATTATCATCATCTTCCTCCTCCTCATGCTCTGGAGTTCTGGGGGTATCTAAACAGATGCACAGCTCGACAAATGTGGTTAAATTTGGCAGTTTGCATTCTCCATTCTCCCTCCCTGCTTCCCTCCTCTCTTCCTTCTCTCAGGCAATTAGAGGAACCAGAGCTAGCAAGCCAGGCCATTGCCATTGTGTTTGTAGTTTGTGTTTGTGTGTGTGTTTGTGTGTGTGTGTGTGTGTGTGTGTGTGTGTGTGTGTGTGTGTGTGTGTGATGTGCTTTAAGGCAGAAAGGGAGAAACTATTTCCTCTTCCCACAGCAACAGGCATGGATCAAAGTAATTGGACAGTTTGGTTCACACTTGGCCAGTCCAAAGCCATGTGTGTTTTTGTGTGTGTGTGTGTGTGTGTGTGTGTGTGTGTGTGTGTGTGTGTGTGTGTGTGTGTGTGTGTTCTCTGCCTCCAAGAACCTGGTAGCAAAATGCTTCCTCACAGCACACATCTTTCTTAACTACACACACACACACACACACACACTCAATAACATATTTTTCTCTCTACATTTGCGTTGAATAAAACATGGCAGTAAAAGTATGTCAACGTCTTGCTCAGCGCAGAGGGAGCAGAATGGAAGGTTTCTGCTCCAGTATAAGATCAGATAGAAAGAGCGTGCATGTCTGTGTGCGCATGTGTCTCCCTCTTTCAGTGCAAAGCATAAATATAATTGTGGGCAGTTTGGGTGTTTTGATCCCTGGCCGCTGTCTTCTCATCTCTCGGATCGCACAAGCTTTCTTTCTCCTTCTCTCTGCCTCCTTATTCTGTCTGTCTGTCCTTCTTTCTTTTTCTCCCACTCATTACAATATACTGTATTTGCACTCAAAACCTTCTACTAGTCCCACACACAAGACACGCCTAATTAATGTTTTCTCACACAGTAGATCCATCTCTCAAAGGGGGAAGGATAGCAAAAGAAATGAGAGAACAGGGGTAATGGATGGGAGAGAAGTGGAGGGAAACATTAGTCAACGAACAGAGGAGGTTATTACAGGAGGTGATCAAAAGAGGAATTGAAAAGGAAAGGAGGCATTAAAGAAATGGACGAGCTGCTCCACTGATCAGTGAGTGGGCTGAGGTACCGTTTGCTGTGATTGTTGCAAGATTCCCCCTTATGAACTTTCCAGCATGTTTCTGTTTCTGTTAACACAAATGTGATGAAAAATAGAAAAAGAGAGGGGGGAGCAGCAAAGTGAGGAAACAAATTTTCTGATGGACTGATGTTGAGTTTCTTTCATTCTTTCATCTCTCCTATTAGTTACTTCTCTGGGAAACTGGGACAAACATAGTCCGTCTGGAGCTAAAACTCACACTCTTCGAATGCAGATTAAGCCCAATGTGCGCGCACACACACACACACACATACACACACACACACGCACTCATACACACACACACACACACACACACACACACACACACAGACCACAGAGAATGCCGTCCTTCATCTGTGTGGTTCTGCTATTGACTGATGTGATGGAGGATAAGAGGGAAATTACCAGCTGAAGGTGGTCTGTGTTGTATCCAGATTATTGACACACACACACACATACAGTACATGTTTGTATTTCTATATTTGTGAGGACCATCATTGACATAATGCATTCCCAAGCCACTAGCCCTAACCTTTAAAAGAGGAACTCCATCAATTTTACACACCAGAGTTAGTTTACATGTTTTAGAATGACTACTGCATGTTTAAAAAGTCTTAGAAAGCGTTCCAGAGGCAGCTGTGTGATATATGATAAAGTGTCTCAAGTGATGTCACTTGAGGAAGTTTATCAAAAACAGTGAGTTTACCATACCTCTCTAGCCAGCTCCTCTGCAGATTAGCAGCTCGAGGCTACATTAACCGCTACTATAACATATAACTATATGTTATGGCATAACACACCAGAATCTCCGAATGAACTGTCAGCGGTTGAATTGCATTAAGAAGAATGCACAAAATAAAAAAGGCAAGATCTCTGCTTCTTCTACATTAATTTTAATCCTTTTTAACTATCTACCGTGAGTCCAACAGTGTTTTACAATGCTAAATGAGAGGAGCAGTTTTTTAAACATCACACCTAAGTGCCTTATTTTAACCCTTATCTTAAACTGAACTTAAACCTAATTCTTACCTTAAACTCTTACCATTAAATCCAGATCTTAACCAAATGGCCCTTTGAAGGTCCAGCCTAAAGTGACGAAGTGCCAAAACGTCCTCACTCTCTGGGTCTACAACTCACATTGATCCTCACAAAGATAGATAGATACAAGTAAACACACTCTTAAACCCACATAGGTCTCCTTCCACCCCGCAAGCCTTCTTGCCTTTGTGTAAAATTTATTTTCCGTTCAATAACATTGAATATTGTGCTTCCAGATCACTTTAATTGCAAACCACAAACTCACACACGCTCCCTCCTTCTCCTTCATATGTTGGGAGGAGCCAGCATGTCAATGTGGAGAGGTAATTATTTGCTTGGCTAGTCTGAGCCTGCTCTGAGTCTCAAGGACAGACTTGCCTGCAGCTACAGTACCAAGCAACACAACGGAAGCAGGCAGTGAATGTGTGTGTGTGTGTGTGTGTGTGTGATGCATGGACCGTGACTTGAATGAAAGTGTTTCCTTGTGTTTTTATGTGTATGCATGCAGAATGTATATTGGGTATGTGGTTCATATTTGTCAGAGCTGTGTGTGTGTGTAGGTGTATGCGTGTGGGCATATGCAGGAAAGTCATGATGTATGTATGTCTGTGATGCTATATAGAACAAAGCCTCTCGCAGCGTCGTCCCTGCAGGTCTCCACCTCAGGGAATCACAGTCCCACACACACGTGCCCTTATGTGTCACAGTACACAGTAACAGTAATAGCAGGGATGGAGAGCAGGAAATTGAGATTAGGAAGGAGATTGGGGAGAATACATAGCAAAGGCTTCAACACAGACTAGGGAGAAAAGGGAGACAGAAAGGAAGGAAGAGAAGGAAGAAAGAAAGAGGGAGAGAGAAAGACATTGGAAGAAGGCCACTGCAGGATGAACATCAGTCATGAGAGATGAGCTGATCATCACAGACAGGTCAGGCAGATAATGTTTCACTTTCTGGCCCCATAAAATCTTTTTACAACAGCACTCCCCAGATGACTGCTACTTGTTTTTATTCGGGGTGTGTGTGTGTGTGTGTGTGTGTGTGTGTGTAGTCAGATGCTTATAGAGTACATAGTGTGCGTAAATGCAATTGCATGCTGCCATTTGCACATGTGTATGCGTGGTGCCGTGCATGCATGCTTGCATGTGTGAGTGCACATAAACAGGATGTTTATTGACTCTGAAGGGTGTGTGAATGGTATTTCATGGTGTCATTTTCTTGCGTTTGTGTCTGTGTTTATGTGTGTGTGCTTGTATGTGTGTCCAGAGTGTTGTATAGCCGTAAAGCTGTGCCAGAGAGTTTTGAGTGATTGGCTTGGACTGCCTCAGCCAGGAGACCAATAACAGTAGGCGGCTCAAGAAGGCTCCTGCCAAGTGACCAATGATTAGATCCAACTGAAGGAGACCAGAGCTGAATGGCCCCTCCGAGCCTCATTCCCAGCCTCCCCCAGTAACAGGACGGCATTTCCATTGTGAGTGTTGCAGAAATGCATTGGTTTACTCTCTGGTTCCTTGAGTGCAGGGCTCTGAGAACATTTGACTCTCCCGGTACATGCTCTGGTAGGAAATGAAAAAGGCAGAATTATGAGGTATTTCAGATAACCCTTAAATGCTGGGGCTCTTAAACTCAAACAGCACGTGAAATCCATTGTCTATCTCCAAATCAAAGGCCGATGTAAAAATATTACTACTCCTGTTAGGTTAAGCAACAGGGACTGTGGCCAATGCTTCCCCTGATACAGAGTTTATGAGAGAAGAATTAAGACTCAATCAAAGAGTCAATCAATATACAAGTACAAAATGAATATTTTAAGTATATTTAGAGTGTATACACTCTAAATATCCAAATCACCCCAAACAGCTAGATGTGTCTAATCTGGTTCCCCATGAAACGTTCTTCCTTCTGCTATGACCCATTGCTGTTTCTTTGCCTTAATGATACTGCTGCTTGTTTTCACACCTTCATGCAGGCTTGTGTGTGTGTGTGTGTGTGTGTGTGTGTGTATGTGTATATATTGATCAGATAGTACAGCGTTGTGGCCCTGCACTGTGTTGTCAGTACATGTTGAAACTGAAAAAAATCCATGTTTCTCATAATCTGGCAAACAAAAGCGGGCAAAAAGTTAAAACAGCCTTGTTCGTCTGCCCCTTTTAGTCATTTAGTTGTGGTGGGAAAAATTAGCCTCGGGCCTTGCTGTTAGTCTGCGGGGCCAATTTATGAGTAACACATCTCCCGTCTGTGTAATTCACAAACTGACCTCGGCTGTTTGACTCATTGATTTTTGCTAGAGTGGGGCTCCTAAAGTATCCCTCCCCTCCTGTTAGTAGGACTCCATCCAGAACACACTGTGTTCCAGCTCTGTGGCTCCGGTACATCCTGTCATCGTCCTGGGGTTACTGCAGAAGGTGAGAAAGGTCCTGACTGGCTGATCTGCTGCTGTTCTGGGTGGTATGGCTCCCACAGGACCAGATCCCACTGATCATCACTGCCTATGAATAGCTGCTGCATTGCAGATGGAGGGAAGAAAGGGAGAAGGAAGAGTTGTAATGGGTGGAGAACAGCAAGAGTGAAGAGTGAATTTTCTTTGTCAAGGACACTCAGGTCCCCCCTCTGTGGTGAATTGAAGTAATACTGGCTGTTTTCATTATCTGCCATAGGTATCTGCTCAAACAATGAATCTGCACATCGGCTTTATTGCAGCCAGGTTTCTAAACAAAGTGTGATTGTTAGAAGGCAATAAGACAGAGATGGAGACTCGCCAAGAGACAGGTGCTGAGAGGAGTGAGTGTAGACAGCTAGACGGTGTAGAAATGAGGATGACAAAGAGGATGTGTCCACCGCTTCATTACATTTCAGAGTCTTTGATTAACAGGTAATGATTGCTGTAGCCTCACAAACCTCCAGGTTCATTCACTCACTCTGGCACATATGCTTGCACACAGAGACATTTATATAGGAAGATGTTGCATTTAGAGATAGCAAAAAAAATGTACCTTAACCAAAACTGCTATATGCCTAATCCCAATCTTGACATTAACTTTAACCAGTTCCTATATATCCCTACTACGTGAGTAATAGATTACAACTGGTGATTACTTTCATTGTTGATTAATCTGATTCTTGATTAATCAATTATATAGTATGGTCTATTAATAGTCACAAAATATGTATTTTACAATTAGCCTATTACAAAGTGACATGCTCAGAATTGCCCCGCCAGCAAACCAAAACCCCAAGATGCTCAGCTGACAACTGTATGAAACAGAGAAAAGCTTGAAAAATAACAACATAGTGATTGATCAATTCTGATGAATTTGTTGGGAATAAAGCTGAGACATTTAATCAATTTATCGATTAGGCTAGTGAATTGACTTATTATTATAATAATCGATCAAGCAAAAACATGCAAACATTCATTAGTTCCATTCTCAATTATGACAATTTTCTGCTTTTCTTTGTTTTATATGGTAGAAAACTAAACAAAAAAGCAAGCAATTTGAAGACTGACATTTTAAACTATTTTCTGACATAGACTCTACACACAAAGAGAAAGTTCTTGCCCTATAATACAGCCTACAGTAGCCTACTGTTGCCAAACAGACTGATTGGTTCCATTTACTAAGTATTATTGATTGATTGTCTGGCCTGGTGAATAATGGTGGTGTAGTTGATGATGATAATAACAATATTCTTCTCTGCTGCAAAATGCCTGGCCTGCTCTGCATTATTTGGCAGTGTGACATTAATTTGTCCTTGAGTCAAATGTTTGTGGTTTGGTTTGTGCATGAAAAGGCACTGACGTTAAAACTCTGTATGTACACCTCCCTCTCTCTCTCCCTCTCTCCCTCTCTCTCTCTCTCTCTCTCTCTCTCTCTCTCTCTCTCTCTCTGTCCATATTCTCCGCTATATTCCGCTCACCACTTCCAGTCGCGGTTAACGGGCGTGCGGTTGCCAGGAGAGGCGCGCGTACATTAAGGTGTGCTGCTTTTAACGGCAGAGCGGCACGGGCTCACCCCGCCATTTCTTCGTGCCGAGCCCTGGAATGTCGAGTAGCGGCTCGGGCTCTTCCTCGCGGAAGGAGTTCGATGTGAAGCAGATTCTCAGGATCCGATGGAGGTGGTTCGGTCACCCCGCGGTCCCTCCGCCTCACTCCCCGCCGCTAGGAGACTACTTCGCCGGGAGGAGAACGGGCGGCAGCTCCGGAGACGGACCTTCAGTCAGCGGCTGTAGCAACTCGAATTCAGCCAGCGTGAACCCCAGCGCTGGGAGTCACGGCGGTCTGGTGGCCAGCGGCAGCGCTGGGTCTAGCCTGTGTAACGGCAGCAACAGAAAGTTTGCTGATCCTGCGGGGAGTCGCGGCGGTCCGGGGGGAGCGGCAGTTGGAGCAACGGGGAGCTCCTGTCCCCGCTCCTTCAGCCAGCCAGAGTGCAGGAGCTCCGCCGCTGCGCTGTCGTGGGTCTCCCCGCCGCCTCATCGTCGCTCCCGGCCGGTGACGAGCATGGAGCCCCCCGGCGAAGCTCCGGTGCCCCAGCTGGTACCCGAGCCCTCCGCTCATGTCGGGGTTGAGGAGGAAGAGGAAGAGGAGGCGGCGGCAGCGGCAGCGGCACCGGCAGCGTCGGGCAATGAGGAGAACAACAACCACCCGGAAACTGACTCCAGCTCCTGCAGGTAGGAGGGGGCAGGTTTGAGTGGTGAAATTTCTGTTTTGGGATCTTTTCGCCAAAAGTAAACTTTCTAGAGCAGAATGTGAGCCGAATCAAGTCACGTTAAAAGTTAGGGCAAGTGAAGAGCTCCTTCACTGGTTGAGTTGCCCTTTACAGTTACTGAAATTAGTGTTTTATAATTTGATGAATCATTCTGCTATTTTTACATTTAACCACAGTGGGCTTAAGGGACATTTCGTTTTGTCATTTTCCAATACTGGTGCACACAGGGCATTTGGAAACTGAGTGTGCACCTACTAAATATTGGCCTAGCTTATAGAAAAAGTAAGTCGGGGATGCACCATGTAAGATGCTGTAAGACAGCATCTGCAGTAGTGGAGGGCCACTCATTACAGATAGAGAGCGAAGATGATGGCTGAGTACCTTTGGGACAGAATCTGGTCCACTGATTTCTCAACCTCCTAATGAGGCCTCGCCAACCAGGCTCTGTTAGAAGTACCAAACACAAATGCACACTCTTGTGAATATGGGATTTTCAGATTCAAATTAACCAGATGACTCCAGGGCCGAGGTTCGGCATGTAGCCACATACTGCACTTGACATTTACATTGTTTTGTTTTCAGCGACCCATTCTCCAGCTTCAACTCACAGTCCCCATGGCTCTGCATGTTTGTGTGCACATGCATGATGTGAACGCTTTGCACTGGTGTGGCCATGCAGCTGTAGTGGTGTGAAAATACATTTAATTAATAGTTGCCATGGAGACAGCAAAACAAAGCAATTAGAGCATCATAACTAATCTTAAGTGCATCTGCATGGACTTCACAGATTTATGTTTTTATTATGATGCAGCAGTAAATGTGATGAAGTAAAGGAAGAGAAACAGTGTGTGTGTGTTTGTGTTTGGTTATGTGTGTGTGTTTACTATACCAGCGTAATGATGCATCTGAAGGCATCCTATCATGCTCTGTGTTCCCAAGACACATATCAGAAAATATTAATGATTCATAGGACACGCACAGACTTTAAAACATCTTTCAGTGGGAGCAAACGCAGATGTATTTTTTAAAATCGATTCATGTCTGATGCTCTATCATTCCACACCCCATTTGTTTTCACCGCAAATGTGTATGTTTGTGTGCGTTGTGAGAGAGAGTGAGAGAGAAATATGGTTTTAAAATATCTATTGTTATGCAAGGCTTTAACTTGGGAGTCTGGCAGCGCTTACACAGAAAATTACTTGTGCTCAATAGTAATGCATGTAGCGACACACACCAGCCTCATTATAGGCAAAGACATACTACATAATGATGTGAACCTGAACAGATTTTTAGAGTGCATGGGTATAGCCGTGTCCATGTACATGTTATGGTTGCCATACCAACACAGACATTAGTTTCTGCAGCATACATGTGCAGCACTGTGCATGTATGTTTTATGATTTTTATGTGTGTGTGTTACTGTCTGTATGCTGTTCATTCCTGTCCCTCTGAGAGCTCCTGTGTACAATATGATACTCCCAAGAACACAAGTGGCAGAATCCCAAATGGATCATGGGAACAGACGAGTACAGAATACCAGAGTGGCTGAAGGCTCGCTTTGACTCAGCTGATCTCCTCTTCTCCCTTTTACTTTCTACACCCCCACCCCCCCTCCGCGCCTAATCCTGGTATGCCTCCCTTACTCTCTCTCCCCCTCTGTCCCGTGTTCCTCCCTGCCCACCCTTGTCCATTCATTTGCCCTCTCTTTTCTTTTTTCCCAGCTAATGTGTTGGAAAACAAAAGCATTTGTATGTGTGTCACGGAGGCTGTAACATGTGGCCAGTCAGGCACCGTGGCTGTATGATCACGTTGTACATCAGCTTACAGAACTAAGTTTCATTTGCATTAGCTGTTAGCCTACAGGCTAATCAGACTAGATAGTTAATCACCGGGGAGTGTGTGTGCAAATGTGCGTGTATGAGAGAGAGAGCGAGGCAGGGAGAGAGACCCTGAATGACAGTTGTGTGAGTGTCCTTGCCTGGTGCAGGGGTTTAAAAAATCTGGCTGCATGGTGTTGATTCGCCCCGGACACACTCTCTGTTTCTCCCCTCTCTCTGTTTCTCTCTCTGTCAATGTTGAGTGCCTGCCAGGCTCAATTAAGGGGACTGGAAGGCAGCATTCCCCCACTTCAAAGCCATCTCCTCTGGCAGTATTTAGCCAAACCATTCGTATGCATACACACTCACACACACATGCATGCACACTCAAAGCTAGCCAAAAGGCCTCCTTGGAGGGGTTAGAGTGGGGAAAACTGAGGCAAAGATGGATGATGGGATGATGGGATGAGGTGGAATGAAGTGAGTGATGGATTAGTTGAAGATATAAAAGTGAGGACGGGAGACGGATGTAGAGGGCAGAGGTAAAATGACCTGCTGTAGCACGTCAGCAGCAGCACACACAAACCCGAATGCGTGCACTGTTGGCATCTTACACCAGCGCTGCTTACAACATTTATTAACAGTGCCTAAGATTATTTAAAAATTCAATTCAAGTCAATTTTCTTAAGCTTTAGCTCAAAATCACAAATTTGCCTCGAGTTTAAACCTGCAATAGCTGATATTATTTATTTATTTAGTTAGTTTTGCTACTTGGGGGAGGTGGACAAAGGCTGTTCACACTGATATTGTAGTACCTTTTCAGTTGATCTGACAAATTTGTTAGCAAACAGCAGTTACACAGCAGAATTAACATTCATTTGGAGTTTTGTTTGTCCATGGCTACCTCGCGAGTGTTAGTCCAATGTTCACTTTCTTTTACCTCTTTTTTGGTCTTCAACTGCTGAAAGAAATATCAGGTAACTCAGCTACTAAATGCTCCACTAAACACTGATGAGAGTGAACCAGATAAGTAAAGTTGTGGGCTGGAAAATCAAAACAGTGACCTGAAAGACATTCAGATGCGCCATAGAGCTGAGGGGAACTGCAGAGTCGGGTGATAACTCTATGTAGGCTTATTTAGTCATGTGATCCATCACTGATATAAAGTGCAACTAATTATGAAGAATATGGCTCTGAGAATATTGCGAGCAACTTCCAAGTGCTGCTAAGCACTAATAGGACCTGGACCCAGACTGGAAAGAGGACACACGAGAGTAATGATTTCTGATTCACAACCCTGTTTAAGGGTGATTTAGTCTTCACATTTCAAATCATGTTGTGTACACAAGCCGCATTTTCCTGTGCCTTTCCAGAATTTCTGTTTTGCTTTCTCTCTGTTTAGTCCTGAAAGAATATGCGTGTGGAAAATTGCGATTTAGGACAGTTTAATTTGCAACTAACACACACACAAACTCTTCCACAGCCCTGAAAGAGTGGGGTTTCTCTTTAAAAGTAGAGCCGAAATGATTCATCCAGTTCATTTCTTATCTCTTTGTGCTGTAGGGCCAGTCCTGCCACTTCTGCTGTTAAATTAAAAATGGAAGTACGGCTCTGGCTCTCATAAATTAAATGCTGGAGCCATGATGGCTGGAGATTCACAGGGTAACTAGCTATACTTCTGTGCTCATCTTTGATGAACACACGTGCACACAGCAACGCACACCTCATCAGCTCAGACTGGAAGAAAAAGACAGAACAGCCCCAGGCTTCAGCACTTACACCAGTGAGTAGCAAATGTTGAAGCCATCCTGGCCCAAAACCCTGCTTCATTTCTCGTTGTTGGTATAGATAGAAGGAAACTAGTTGCCATTAGGGAGCAGAGTAAATTACTGCATATCCTATGCGCTCAGCTCCCACAGCTATTTAATTGGCAGCTCCTCTTTTAAGTGGGCTAAATTTATCTGGCCATTTACTCCTAGTAATTGGACCATTAAAGATCTTTTGTCTGCTTCTGGCGACATACAGTAACCCTGTTGAACAGTGAAGGGGAGAGCGAATACGTGCGAGGGAGATGGCTCATGGAAGACATGAAGCAGCCGTCATAGCTCTCTCCACACATCTGTCTCTTTGTCTTGAACAAAACAGAATCAGCATCAACACATGCACTCAAAGCCTCTGTCTCCTTCTCTTTGTGTCTGTTTGTCCGTGTGTCTGTGTGTTTGTGCAAAATGCCTGTCTTTGTCTGTGTGTCGCTGTGTGGGCACAGGACGTCTAACAGCAGCGCCACGCTGTCCTCATGCGTGTCAATGGAGCCATGTGCGTGTCCAGAGGATTGTATGTTCACCGCTCTGTCCCACGCCGATGTCACCTTCCGCAAGATGGAGGGCTACCTGAGGTCTCGACAGCTGTGTGATGTCATACTGGTGGCTGGAGACCGGCGGATACCTGCACACAGGTAGGAGACACTAAAATGTAACACCAACATTTTGATGTTG